CGTGTTCACTAGCATACACACCAGCCTTTTTGGGAAGGGAATGGCTCTAAGGCTCTGGAATCTGGCTTTTCTCCTCTGTGCAAAGAGTCCTCATGGTCAAGTATGACTGTGCGATTAAAAAAAAAAAGGGTTGTTCTAAAAACGTTAACAACTAAAAGGAACTGTCCAGCTTAGCTGTTCTTGAGAAGCACCTGGTTGAATTCAGGCTGCACTGTCTCTGGACAAAATGTCCAGAGACGACCTGACGATCGTCAAACATATTTTACCTTTTTATACAAATAAGATTTCTCTGCACTGGTCCGTCTGGATCCTTCACCTCTGGCACGGGCACTTTCTGAGCACGCTGTCCTCTCTGCCCTGATTGTTAGAATTAAGGTGTCCGCGGTCCCACCCGAGCAGACTCCTCTGCTGCGTCTTTCACCTTCCTACGCTCGTTGTTTAAAGTGAACACTTGGAGCTTGGCAATTGTAAGTGCTGGCTGCCATCATAGCTGCTTTAGAAATATTTTGGAGAGAGAGGCATGATATTTTTTTTACGAGGTTGGGATGTACTGACCACTCTTGAGAGTGCAGAAATCAGCTGTTTCTTCAAGCAGCAGGTTTTTGACTGGTTTAAAATGTCCCGTCTGTGAAGGCAGATGCTCACGTTTCAGCAGAGCCGGAATCAGCAAGTTCTTTATTTTAGTGTTGTGACAATAGTTGTCAGGAAAAAGCATGATTGTCTGGTTTTTAGTTGTCAAAATGTAGTCATTTCCGTTTGAGCAGATACTTCAACAGTGAATGGCATGTGGCCTTACCAAGCGTTTTGATATGCAGTTTCCCAGTGGTAATGTTTGTAATGTTGAAAAGGAGGAAAGAGAGAAAGCAGAATAACCTCATTTTGCTAGTGATGAGCAGGTGTCTTCCTTACTGTGAGCTTTGGCTTTGGGTCAGAGCAGTACCTCTATAATATTCCCTAACCTCAGCGCAGACAAAAACCTACTGTTCAACATAATTCATTGTTGTTAGAGGGTACTCTTTACTGTTCTCTGTAGGTAGCAGTTTAAAGTGTGATTTCTGGTAGGGCTGAGACAATCTAATTGCAGGCTAAGGCCAAAAAGTGGTCCAGAGTTTCCCTTTCGTGTGCAGTCCTGGACCTTTACCTTGTACGAGCAGTGACACTCATCTGACCCAAGAGTGAGCCAATGTAGGGATGAAAAACAGAGGAAACGCCAACTTCACAAATCAAAAAGAGAAAGTTTTCCTGTATTTTAGCTCCCTTAACTAGCTTACCCTTGGATCAGTTGAGAGCTGTTGTCGGTGCAAGGGGTAGCATGGCAGTGGTGAGAGAGGAGAGGTAGGGCCACCTCTTTTGGACGTAGCCCACATGCAGTTTTCTGATATGAATTAGGTTTGATCCTACTTTTGGTGGGTGAAATTTAAGGTTATTTCTGCTGCTGTTTCCAGGGAGAGCTGCCTTTAGACATGATATACAGGCTTAGAGACTTTATCATTTATTTAACGGTAGCCCAGTAACGGGGAGACTGCATTGCTGTGATTTCCAAAAAAAAGCAGGATTTGGGTTCCTTGCAGAGTGAAATGCCGCAGTACCTTGCGTGCTGATTTGGACAGTCGTGAATTAACAGTGGCACTTCAAAATACTCTCAACTCGAGATGTATTTTTGACTAACTTTTGCCTCCTTTTAGTGAATATTTCCACTAGAATAGCCTCGCCTGTTGGAGATCCCACTATGGTGTCTCGACTTGATAAGCATCTGTTGTGTTTTTGCTTATGACTCTTCCCTTTTCGTGTGAGTTGTCTTAAGCATGTCTGACTTGTTTAGGGAGGAGAGGGAATTACTTCTACCCTGTTATTTATTGGGACTCCCACTGATTCTGTCTATGCTCTACTGCTGCTCTTCTCGCTTTCTTTTTCTTTTCTTTTTTCTCCATATTGGTGGGATTTAATTTCTAGTAAATTTAAGGGGTTTTTTTTGTTGGCTATTCTCACAGTATTCTAAAATATTTATCAAATGACTTGAGGCCCAAGATGGTTAGCTTTTTCTAAAGAATAATAATTTCACCGTGTGGAGAGTCAGTTCCATTTGTTATCTGCAGTGCAGTTGTAGGGCTTAGGGGCCCCAAGAGAGCCTGGCGGCTTGTGTGATAAGCGCTGCAAAGACATGTAATAAGAAATCACGTCTACTCAAGGGAATTCATATTCTAAGTAGACCACTGAGAAAAATGGGAGATTTTGCACAGCAAGACAAGAACAGCAGTTGGTCTTGTAACTCCCCAGTTCAGGGTTGTGCTACCTCATTTAAGAGGTCTAGAGAAGCTGATGGTGATCAGGGCCTTGATGATGCTCTTCCCCGTGTCAGTGGAGATTTGCCAGTTATACTTTTTATTTTCGTATGGGGCTTTTTGAGTTGCAGTACTCTAAGACATCATGTATAATCATTATTGCAGTAAGGTACTATTAATATATTAAAAGTTTAAAGTTGTTTGTATCCACTAACTCTAGTTATCTTAATATTTTGTTTATGTGACAGATATGCCAAGAATTCAACAGCACTTGGGCTTGGGAGATGGAAAAAAAAGGATACCTAGAAATGAGCGTTGAATGCAAATTGGGGATTCTGAAGGTATACATTCACCAGCTAGTTTTTAGATGACCTTTTCTCACTTAAAGATCTTATAGATTAGCTTTCTCATTCACTTAAAAATCTTGCAACTTCAGCTTGACTGAATTGTTGCAGGATGTACTAAATGTGGAGTTGATTTTGTAACAGGCATGCTATTCATTCTAGTGGGATAGGCCCAAACTGAATGTAAGACTTCCTAAGAAATTATTTTTGTTACTATTTTATGTCAGTAGCTATTTGTCTGTGGAGTACGCTTACTAAAATGTTTATTAGCTTGCAATTAAATGTGCTCATCTGAAGTCCAAAAGCAAAGATGGTACTTCATCTTTTCGAATCTTGAGAAACCTGGCAGGGTTGGTTTCAACTTATATATGTTTTATTGTAGCATGAAATCAATTGTATTATATTAAAAAAATAATAATAATAGTAATAATAATAAAGCCTATCTAACCTGACCAGTAATAAAAATCTAAAAGTTATCTCTGATCTTAAAACAACATAACCTGGAAATACAAGTAGCTGTAGTGAACTCACAGATTCCATAAAGAGACATTTAAAAAGATTATTCAAATTACACTGAAAAGGAGGTGAGCTGATGTTATTGTTTTTGTTTAGACTTTGATATTTTAACAGTTTTCCAACTTTCTCACTTTTTCAGTATCTCTGTGAATGTCAGTTTGATGACAATCTAAAGTTTAAGAATATTATTAACGAGGAGGATGCTGATGCAATGCGTCTTCAGCCCATTGGTCGAGACAAGGATGGCCTAATGTATTGGTATCAGCTGGATCAGGAGCATAATGTCAGGATGTACATAGAAGAACAGGACGACCAGGATGGCTCCACATGGAAATGCATTGTTAGGTATTCCTTTTTTTCTTAGTTTGCAGTTTTTATTTGTTTTAAGGTGGCAATTTGTGACTGGGGTTCAGAAACTTATTTCAGTCAATCTCCGTTTTTCACAGAGTAAGGTTCCTGATGATGCAGTTTCCTTCTTCAGGTGTATGTGTTAGTGAAAGAATATGGACGGTTCTAATGATGGGGAGAAATGGCTCACTGATTTGTGGGTAACAGCCAACGTATAACTTGTCTTCTGCTCTATCAAGCCACAATGTGTGTACGGGGAGAGTGCCAAGAGAAGAATCTCTTGAGGACAAGGGGATGGCCTACTGAATGCCTTAGCAAACGGAGAAAACCTGTTGCTTCTTTAACGTCTATGCCTTTAAGACAATTATCAGTGGACAGTTTGTTCCTGTGAGAATTACATTGCATTTTTAACCTCACGGTTGTTTAAAATTTTTTATAAGTAGGCAGGCACTGAAAACCTTCTAGAGTAGAAATCATCTCATAGATCACTGAAGATGGGGTGCATGAAGTTGATGCGGACTGACATACGTACGTGAAAGTGCCCTTGTGTCTCAGTTGCCTGCTGCTGTTTGATCTGATAATCTTTTAATGATATTTTAGCCTCAGAGTTATGGTTTTTGTGATTCTCACTCTACATATCTTATTTTTCACTTGCCTATCTATGCAAAGTATATATGGGATCTTTCTTAAGGGAAAATAATTAGTTTGAAATCTGTTTCACATCTACCAGATGATCGATTTTTGCTTTAAGTGAGTTGCTTCCAATTACATTTTAAACTAGACTCAGCAGAATCAACTCTGAGTAAAAACTAAATGGAAATGTAGGAATGGGTCTAAAAAAAGTCAAATAATGTCTGTATTTTTTTTATTTCTCTTTTGGAAATTTTAATCTTTATCTGCAGCTTGTTTACATATCTGTAACTCTAATAACCAGGGATGTCATACAAAGTGTTTGAAACCACTATCAGTGGCTTATAAAATGATAAGCATTACCACCAGACTCCAGGGAGCAATGCCAAAAGTAGAAGAAATTTGGCTTCTGCAGAGAAAGTTCTGATGCTCTGCATTCAGATCAGTAAAACACAGTAATGGATTTTAAAACTTGACATGGGTTTAAAACCACGAGAATCTGTGTGTCCGAGTTGTTACGCTTCCAGGCACGCGTTGTTTTTCTGTAAACTTGGACAAAACAACTTGCTGAGTATTAACTTTTGAAAAAGAGTAACTTGAGAGCCTTATTATTCCAGTCTGTTATGAAAATAAGGAATCTGTTAATCAAATCTCAAATGGTGTATTTTGGCTCCATTTTTTTTCAAGTTAGTTGTTCAGTTTGAATAAGTATACTGAGACTCGCATGTATAGAGGTGTATGAACTTTTTCTCATAACGCCAGTAGCTGGATTTTTGTAGACATCTTTGTATTGTTTACTGAATACATTTAGGAATAGATACTTCTAAAAGTATTTAAATAATTTAATTGCTTTTGAATCACTTAAATGATAGGATTGCTCTTCTGGTGCAGGAACAATAAACTACAAGGTCTTCCATTGAGAGAAAGGTGAAACAGGAACATAAAAGCAGTGAGGATTGATAACAGAGTAACAAAGAAAAGAATAATAAATAGTAGCAGCTTGGATTGAGACCAATCGGACTTGAGGGTTAAGACAGTTAAGGTCCCTCAAAAAGGTTATTTCATTTTAGTAAGGATAAATTGGAAAGTAGTACAAATTGGAGTAGAAAATTGCAGCCACTTTGATAGGACAGACATTTCACTGCTCTTTGAATGCCTGATTTTTAGGGCAGCATCCATTTAAGTAGATGGTGTTTGTTTATCTCTAATGAATCCCTCTGGGGTGAGTGAGTAAGTGGCTTATCAGACAATATGTTTTTTCCTTCTGTCATTCAGAAACCGAAATGAGCTCGCCGAGACCCTTGAGCTCTTGAAAGCACAAATAGATCCTGCCCTGCTGAAAAACAGCAATCAGCAGGAGAATTCATCACGTGAAAGCCCAAGCATAGAAGATGAAGACTCCAAAAAGGGCGAAGAAGCATCTCCACAAGGTTTTCTAGCTTCTTTTTTCAAATTTTTAATGTTGTTCTGTGGCAGTTTCAAAATTTTCAACTTCCTGAAAAGTGACTGTGTTAGATTAGGACTTCTTTCAAATGCATGTTTGTGTTTGAAGTAAATCAAGTAAATGTTGAACACTTTGAAATGCTAAATAGCTAATATTACTGAACTTTTCAGTGCATTCTTAGGCTCAATAGTTTATCTATAAAAAGATACCTGTGTGTATAAATTATTTTCCTAGTAATTTCATTCTTGCTGTACATTTTGTATAATATTGTAAACACTTGTTATTGTATGATTCTTGTGGCACGTTGACCTGTTGCCCAGCTGTTGCACTGTTTTAGCAATATTAAAATTTCAAAAACAAAAAAATCTGCTTGTGCAATGCCATGATTGGTATCAATACAGTATTGGGTGTGTTGTTTATTTTTACTTTTTGAGTTTGAATGAAAAAATATAGGTTGTTCCCTCAGATGTTTCACAATCTATATGATTTTTCAAGAAGACACGAGCTTAAGTTAAAACAATGTAAAATATTTTAGACGTGAGGTGGAGCTTAGCTGCCACCACTATATTGTCCTTATCAGCAAAGAACCTTTTTCCCTTCCTTATCATGTCATTGCACATATTTGATATCTTGTTGGTTTGTGCATTGGTTTTACTAAGTATCAGTTAGCCTGAAATATTTTGTGTTAAAGAATGTACTTTTTTTTTTTTTTTTGGTCGGGTAATGAAAAGCTAAAAGCTTGTTATCCCAAGTAATTTTACCCCAGATACTACCTGGTATTAACATTGAAACAGAGGAAAAGATTTTTCTCAGTCAGAAACAATATTTAAGGTTTCCAGTGTCTTAGTATGTGTTTCTTCAAATCTGTTTAAGTTAATTGAATATATGGATTTAGCCAAAGCTGAGTCTTAAAGAGGAAGACTTGCTGTTTTAGTCTTAGCAACAAACATTGTAGAACAGAAAAAATAAGACATTTAGATAAATATTTGAGTTGTTGTGGAAGCATATAAGACTTACTGTAGGAATTGCAGTAAATTGCAACAAACATCAGTAGAATCTTCTGTCAGTCCAAGGCGTTTCCAGTATCTGATGTTGCAAACAAGCGACAACATCATCTGCATGGTTACAGATACTGCAAAGGTAATTCTAAGTAGTGATCTTGCCTTTATCTCACTAAAAGTTGGTCAAGCCAGCTTAAACTATCTAATTTAGATCTTTACTTCAAATACTGTTTTACTTGAATTGGATTCAAGAGGAGCCATCTGAAAACATTTTAATAACTGTCTCCTGTGTGATAAGTCCCCAAACCCTGTGGCACACTCAGCCATCAAGCCATCATTTGAGTCACTACTTACATCAGGCTGTGTATTGATGCAAAACTCAGTCCTAGACTCTAGTCCAATGTATGTTGTGAATAATTTATATGTGCAGCAATTTAAGTGCATTCACAGAGCGCTATTTAGACCGTTTCGGTTGAAAAGCTTTAGTAAATTTTCCTATTAGTCCAGGGGTTGTGCTCAGAAATTCTGAAAAACTGAAGGCCTTCAAAGGTACTGTAAGAACATATTAGAAGAACCAATACCTGTTTGCTTTGGCCACTTCCCAAGTAGCATGAAATTAGTGCGTACAGAAATAACGTAAACTGAACTGAAGTTTGCTTTTTTTACTGGCCTGCTTGACTCAAATAATGTGACGTCAGCTTATACAGCAACCAAGTGGTTTGGTGTACGTGAAATGCTTTATGAGCTGTTTAGGAAGTTTAAAACGCTACATCTTGGAACAATTGTTGTGTTTCAGCATGTGGAAGTTTCAGGATTTTGATGATCCTTGAGGTTAGAAGTTTGGGAGAGAGCAGTAGGTGAAGGAAAAAATGGTTATTCTCTGAGAACAAAGCTTAGGCAGAAAGAAGTGAAGAGAGGGCAGAAGAATGTAGACACAGCAAATGCATCCCACTCTCCCTGATGCAGATGAATGCTGTCTTTAGAGGGCAGCTTTTTTATTTGAAGGGGTCTGAGTGGTAATCACCTCTCTAAAGGAAAAAAAGCTAGCCTTGAGCCTTCAAAATGTTATCGCTTAAGGTACACTAGAGTTAGCATCTCTCTTAGTCCCGTACTCGCTGTTGAGGCTTACTTGGAATACATGCTTTGGGTTTGAAAGTACTCTAAAATGCCTGAATTCCTCCTCACCACGCTCTCTCTTTTTTAATATGCTTGTTTTCTTTAAGTGTAATTAAATTAGCTGGCAGGTACTTTCCCCTCTGTGGTTTCTCACTGCTTTGGGAAGCTCTTATCTTGGAAAAGAATTACAATGACGTGGAGGGAGAGGGGTTTGGTGGAAGAAGAAACATCCTTTTGTTTGGAGTTGTGGCACGGTTATTGTAACTTCTGCCAGATGCTGTTATGATATATGTAATACTATTATATTTGCTTTTTTGTAGTGAGCTTTCTCTCTAGCTGACTCAAAAAAATGAGATGATAAAATCTGAAGCTATTAAGAGGCTGCAGTAATGAAAAAGAATAGGCTGAAGTACATAGTAATAAAATAATTTTTTTTGAGTGCTGGAACTGTACTTTAAGCCTTAACAATCTAAAATTGACTAAGCAAACTACACATAACCTATTTAGGCTCTGCAATTTTTCTGGTGTCTGCTGTATTTACTGTGCTGGTTTTCGAAGCTGCAAATGAAATGAATGTAGAATATTGTATATGATTTGCATTTTGATAGTACATAGGAGATGTGATCATTTCCCGGAAACAGAATCTAGATGAATTTTGTCATAAACTATAATGTTTAATATCTTCAGCTTTCTCTGAAATGCTGAAATACAATAGTTAAATATTTCCTGAAATAACAATGTCTACAACGAGGAGAGTGATTCATATGTGGTGTTTCACTTGAAGTACGTGGAATCTTATGACACCTCCTGGCTAGTGAAATAATTCAGAAGCTTGAATGAGACTTGGTTTTTTTTTTTGTTTTTTTTTTTTTAAGTTGGTGTTTCCTGCGTTCTCTGCTTAGGTTTTATGTATCTGTTCTCTGAAAGTATTGTGGCCCAGCTGAAGATGCGGGTGAGATATCTGCAGAAAAAAGGATGAATCTGGAATCCTGCTGATTAGCTTCTGTGAAGTTTAGGTTTATCTCGATGTATAGTTGAACTGATCTGTGATTCTGTAGCTTAAAAATTCACAGCCCACCTGTTTAACACTGTCATTAAGCAGGCCTAACTCTTAATAATCCCATGACAGAAGAATCATTTGGTATGGGGGGGGAAAAGGTTGATGGGTTTGGGGTTTTTGATTTTTTTGATATACATTTGTCTTGATTGAGACTAACTGCATCCCTTTAAGTCCCTGCTTGTTTCATAGTTGTGTTTCTCTGTCAACAGAAAATCCAGTAAAAATTAAAGAAGAAAAAGAGGTGGTGGAGGAACAGTCAAAGGAATTGGAGACCCTTCCTCTTCCTGTGGTCAAAGAAGATGAAAACATGGTGAAAATTGAGAAAGTAGAAGAAAAAGAAATTATAAAATTGCCAGTAATAGTAAAATTAGAGAAACCTTCAGAATGCAATGAGGAAAAGCAAACGGTCAAAGAAGAAAGTGACTCCTTTAAAGAAAATGTAAAACCTGTTAAAGTAGAGGCGAAAGAAAACAAAGTAGAACCAAAAGACTTAAAAGAAGTAAAAAGTTGTACTGACAAAATAGCAGTTCATGAGCCAGAGAGATTAGACTTTTGTGTTAACGTCAAAACTCCCCAAGAAATTGTGGAGAAGTCTGTGGAAGAAAGTGAAAAAATTAAGAATGACCAGCAGGCAAAAATACCACTTAAAAAGCGAGAGATCAAGCTGACAGATGACTATGACAGTCCAATAAAGGGGCCCCTATGTAAATGTGTAACTCCGACAAAGGATGTCTTGAAGGAAGAAGGGAAACCAGAAGAAGAGACTTTTAAGAGAGTCCCTACAATTACTGCTTTATGTCCTGATGGCAAAGTGCTAGTAAATGGAGAGATTAGCAGTGAAAAAATAACCCCAAGTGTCATACAAAATAATAAGTCAGAACACTCTGCTACCACAAAAGAAGACAGCAGCTCATTAAAGGAGAAAAATGATAAAAGTGGGGAGAAGGTGCCAGACTCCTTAAACTCTGTTAGTAAAATTATGAAAGCATGTGAGGCTGAGAAAAATGCAGTAACTGTGGTCAAAGAGGTAGGGTCTGTGATCTCTGAGGTTTCTAACCAGAAAGTGCCTTTAAAAGAGGAATCTAGTCCTGTGGAAAAAGAGTCCCTCGACAGCATAACTACTGAAATGGTAGTGGAGGAATCTTCAAACTCTGAAGACTGTGCCAAAACAACTGAAGAGAAACTGGCTGTGGAAATCCAAAAGGACAGACGATCGCCGCCCAATGAGTGTTTAGAAAAGGTAGAAAAGTCCTCAAGCGCATCTACGCCTAAGGAACTGCCCAAGCTTGCACTAGTTGACGAAGAGAGTTCGAAAAGTAAAGGTGAGTCTGAGGAGAAACCTGCTTCTCCGAAAGCTGCTGAGATGCCTCCTTCGCCTACTTCTCCTGTTACATTAGACAAGTCTGTTTTAGAAAAGGAGGGCTCTGATACTAAAAGTATAGTCCCTGAAGAGAGCAAAGCAGAAGCAAAATCAGACACTGAAAAACAAGAGGAAGAGCCTGAACTTGCCAAGACAGAACCAGAAAGATTAGATGATGCCCATGCTTCTAATCTAGAGGATTCCTCAGAGAGTAAAAAGGAATCTCCGGTACCTAAAAGCAAATTTAAATATAAATTAGTTTCTGAAGAAGAAAGTTGTGCAACAGATAATAAGGAAATAACTTCCGAAAGACAGAAAGAAGGAATTAAGTTAACAATCAGGATCTCCAGTAGAAAGAGAAAGGCAGAGACGCCACCAGAAGAGCTTGGGGTTGGTCGCACATTACGGCGATCTCCAAGAATATCTAAACCTACTCCAAAAATCGTGGAGACTCGGGATCAGAAACCTGACAAAAAACGAGCTGAAGAGGAGGAGGAGAAACCTGCATCAGCACAAAAACAGGAACGAAAAGACGATGCAAAAAAACAGGAGAAGGAGTCAAATTCTAAAGTTAACAAGGTAATATCGTAGTGTGTTCTTTTGGTCATCTTTTTCGACGAAGTAACTTTTGCAATCCAATTTATGGATTAGTCTAAAGAGTTTTGAGACTCCCCTAAGAGTGCTAATATCTGTTGACTTAAAAGTTTGTCAGATCTTTCATTTAACTTAGTTTTAAACTGACTAGACCAAATCAAAATTGGGTAAATTCCTTCAGAGAATGAAATGATCAGATCTGAGTCGGTCTTACTGCGTGGGTGAATGGAGACTTCTAGCTTCTGCGGCTTTGCTAGATGGTATGCTTGTTGGTGTCTGGTGGGTCAGTCTGAGGAAAATAGTATGCAAAAAAGACCTGGAAAATGGTGAAGAGTAGTAAAGTTTTCTTTGTGGTGGATTTATGATGTAATTAGCTTTTCACCTGCATGGGATATACGTTTTACTTTGGATGGGGATGTCTTTTTCTTTTTTTCTTTTCCTATGATGAACTTTTGCTTATGGGGCACAGATCTTAGAAGTAGGCCAGGTAAAAATAATAGTAAGGAAATGAAATAAAGGAAATTAAATGTGCAGGTGTATAGCATGCTTCTAAATCTGTGTAATTATAAACCCCTTTTATTCATTTATCCTCCGTATTTTTCTGGGTATGGAGCACAAAGGGAAAACAAGGAATAAAGATCCCATATTTTTAAGTATATGGAAAGTGTTTGAAACAAATAACTTTTACCATTTCAGCAGATTAAAAAATATTTAATTGGATATTTTATTTATTTATTTTTTTTAGGAAAATGTGTTCAAAAAATGAATTTGAAATTATCATAATACATTACGAAGCTTAAATTAAAGTAACGCACTGAAGTAAATGAAACACATTTGCTGCTAAAGTTTAGTGAAAATGCAAATCACTAAAGAGCTGGAAATTAATGTTAAGCACCTGAAACAAGAATGTACCGATATGACAAATGCTCCTTTAGTATGAGCGCTTTCTGCAGGGAAAATAGAACGCTCTTCTCATATTGTTTTCTTCAGCTAGTTCAGGTCAATGAGTGTTTCAGTCAAAACTGAAAAATATTTGTGAGTGGAAAAAGCTGGAAAAATTATTTTTCAATCTCTGCAGAAAAAGAATTAATTATGAAGGAATGATGTCTATGGGAAACAGGACACTTGATTCCAAAACAAGTTTCTCCTGTTTCGTTTATTGTTTTAAATTTAAAATATCCCGGATGCAGAAAGTAGTTTTAACTAATACAAAATGTTATTTGAATTTTAATTGAATTTTGTTTCTCACTCAACATGTATTTGAAACAAATCCCTAGTAAAATGTACCTCCATCCTCTAGTGAATAAGAGATGTCATCTTTCATTTCATGAAACAAAAAAGGTGGAAAATCCAAATAAATGCATGGTAAGACGTACAGCTGTTTAAATAAGGTGGCTGTAATATATCCCTTTGATTAGCAAAAAGAAATATCAACTGGGTCAATTTTAACTTTAAGAAAAATAACTTAAAGTATAAACGTGGAAGACCACCTGAACGTAAGTTATTCACTTACAAGGTGCACTGATTTTATTTCAGAAGATTGCGCCCGTCTTGCTGTGCTGTGTTATTGTAAATTTGCAGCTGCGCTGATTGAAATGAATCACTTCATTATAGAGAAAGTTAAGTATTTTAAAGATTTGGGAAGAAGCAATGTAAGTTTTCTGTGTTTTATCTTTGAAATGGCGTGTCTCACAGAGAAGCAAAGTTCGGTGGACGGGTACTCGGACACGTGGCAGGTGGAAATACTCAAGTAATGAAGAAAGTGAGGAGTCAGAGAATGAAAAAAACTCAGATGAGGAGGAGGAGGAAGAAGAGGAGGAGGAAGAAGAAGCTGCGCCTGCTGATGATGATGAGCCATGCAAGAAGTGTGGCCTTCCCAATCACCCTGAGCTGGTAGGTTTTTGAGGAAAGCTTCTGTTGACTATTTTGGCAGTAAAGGGTGGAATAGAAGCACATCCGAAGGTACCTAATTCCTTTGGGCAGTAGGAGTTCTGTGTGTAGGAGAATACCCGCTAGATTTTGCATGATAAATATTTATTACAGGAGTGCCACAGTTAAACTCAACGTAGTAGAAGACTACGTACTCCAGTGGCTATTGACACAGCTCATGTCAACTTTGTCACCCATTTTTGATGGAGAGGGGTATCTAGAGTTTTGCCTGTGTGTGAATGTAATAGTTTCCCAGTTCTGTATACCCCTAGGAGTCTGCAAGTTTACAGTCCTGTCGTTGAATCATCCAGACTGAGGAAATTGCTAAAGGATGCTGTGGTTCCCTCCCTGTATGGCCACGTTTCCTTCACGGTGACGTGAGTGCATGGACAAAACCGTTCACATCACATCTTGTCCAGATACAGTTTGTCACTTGGTCCAAGATCTAGACAGCATTACCCAGTTCCACAGTATGGGCACAATCCAAGCGGTCCAGTACTCCTACATGCCATCATAAGAGGAAATCTGGAGTTCTTGTATCAGAGTTTTCAACTGTAACTTCCCCACAAAAAATACCTCCAGGCTCCGGGAACATCTAGAGATGAGTGATACAGGATTCTTGGTTTTGGCACAGTCCAGGGTACTTATAAAGTGCTTCTGTGTTGGCCAGGAAACTAGTTCTGGAACTCGTTACACATAATGCATGCCAAAAGATACTCATATTTCATTTTATTTCTGCAGATTTTGTTATGTGACTCGTGTGACAGTGGATACCATACAGCCTGCCTTCGCCCTCCTTTGATGATAATCCCTGATGGAGAATGGTTCTGCCCACCTTGCCAGCATGTATGGTTCTTATTTGACTTTAGTGTTCTCCTTTTCAGCTTTGCTTGTGGTTGTGGAGATTTGTTGGGGGTTGGCAAATTACTACTTCTTTTTTTTTTTTTTTTTTTTTCCTGTTAAATAGTATTACATGATGGACTGTAGGGATGCCAGTCTTCCCCCTTGGCCTTTAGTAAAACTGAGTTTTGTGAGGGAGAATTCTTTTTTCTTCCTTTCTACCGTTAGTGATAAATGGTTGTGTGTTGCTGGTGTGTAGATGAAAATCTCCAGCCGCACTTGTTTTCTTCCAACTTTTGTTAAATTACTTCAAGCAAATGTAGTATTAAAAATGCAAAGTCTTAATTTTTCCCTAAAGAGAAAACATGCTGTCATCCTGGAGGAAGAAGCAGTAGGCAGTGAGGGATGGATCAGTGGCCAAAGCAAGCAGCTGTTTTTGAAGTTCCAGTCCTCCTTCAGACATTTGCTCAAAACTTGGTTAGAGAAAGCTACTGTTTCTGATGAGTCTTGTGGTATAGTTAGACTCTGCTGAGAAAATCATTGGTATCCTTGTCAAATAATAGACAAATATGAACACTTCTTTTAAGGGCAGAAGCTGCTATAGGAAAAAAAAATAGCGTGCATATCCAGTTTCATTTAAAATACGTCTACTACTACAGTAGCAAATTTTGCAGTGTAGATGCTTGGAAGGAACAGTCAGTGTGTGTTTGATGCTGTTTATGTTGAATTAATGGGGGAACCGTATAGGCACATTTTCAGAATAAACTGCCTTGCTTTCAGAAACGTGCTTTGCCGAAAGGGTTGCTACGCTGCAGAAAGCTAGCCCAATGAGATGTGGCATGATGTGGCTGTATTTGTGTATCAGTTTTCAGGTGTCTTCTGAGAAGTATTTTGTTTAAGCAGTCATGGTCTTGAATGCTTAAGGATCTTTTCTATACATAATTTGATATTGTAACTTGCTGTTAAAGCATCTCTTTGCTTTAGTGCTACTTGTTATTTGTCTTAGTAAAAATTACTAAATTTCTAAAAGTATGAAAAAAATCCTTGGAAAATAGAATGATGAGGGAGGCCTGAACACAGAAAAAGGCATGTGATTGGTCCATAAAAAATATTTTTACGTATGGCCCCTTGGTTATGAATTGATGTAATAAGATTTGAAGTATTTGGTAGGAAAATGAAGCTGAAGTGCATCTCTGCTTTTTACTGTGATGCACACGTGCCTTTTCACCTGCCTTTTAAACGTCAAGGTAAGTGCCAAACACGTCATTGTGTGTGTAGACGCTAAACTTTGTGTATGTATAGTATCTATATGTCTGTGGAATCCTCAGGTTTCTCTGAGGGTAATTTGCAAATGTAATGAAAATTTGGTGCTAATTTAGAAATGTATTTATTCTAAACATCTTTATTGTTTGCTTTAGGCACGTTACTTCCTACAGTAGATGCTAGTTACTAGGAAGATATATTTCTATAGCAATTCATGCTGAAGTGCACACATGTTTTAGGAAGAGCATCCTGCTAAAAGAGGATGCTCCACTGTAGCAAGGGATTCGTTCTTCTTCCAGACATTAATGTGACAAGTATAAAAATAGTGAATGAAGTGCCTGAACATTAAATGAAAATGGTTGGTTATGAGAGAAACTAATATTTTGTGTATTCCCTTAGAAATTGCTATGTGAGAAATTAGAAGAGCAATTACAAGATCTGGATGTTGTCTTAAAAAAGAAGGAGCGCGCGGAACGCAGGTACTACTGCTTGACTGTGTTCACAGCGAGCTGCTATGCAGAGGGGTGGCGATACTTGAACAGGCATTAAAAGAACTGAGGACTGGGGAGGAAAATATCAACGAGACGGGGAATTGGTGAAACCTGTTTTGACTTATTACAGAGGTTATTGGAGGTGCAATGCTGGGAGAGTTTACAAGAAGGGAGAAAGACTCCAGTAATTGCAAAAGATAAGAAAATGCATTTGTATTAGGCTTTGGTCATGGTGCCTGAACACAATTTTGGCTTTCCCAAACCTGTAATTAAATGGGTTTCGGCACTGGGTTCAGCTGCATGTGTTAATAACGCTCTGTCAGCCGTGTGTAAACTTCCTACGGTAAGCATGCTGTAAGTCCTGACTTTGTTGCAAAGGTCATCCAGATTAATATGGCTTATAAGTCTTGTTGCTGTAGACTCTGTTAAACTTTGTCTGCTTTGCAGGATTATGCAATTGCAATAGTGCAGTGGGTCAGGTGAAATGCAGCTTGCAAAGAAATTTTGTGTCCACTCTTGCCATTATCAAGGGGCTCAGTGTAAACCAGTCTAGTGTGTTTACAAACCCTTTCTGCAGTTGTCAGACCCGAAGGCGAGGGTCATGAAACACAGCCTGCTTAATCTGCAGAATATTGAGTTCTTTGCAAAATTTAATAACATCTACGTGCATTATTAAACTTTCCATGATTGTATCTTAAAGGCAAAATTCAGAGCACAGCACCAAGCGAGACCATTTTAAACAAAGCAGTTGAGAATACGGCAGGTGTATATTTATAGTGCATACAGTAATGTTGGTGAAGAAGTGATGGAATATAGTGATTCTGCGCGGGGAAGTATATCACAAGCAGCGTCTGTTTGCAACTTCCTTAAAATCTGCTCTTCGTTACTGTAGCAGCAATGGCATTGATAGGCTGGATCAGGTGCCAACTGTTCCTGACGTTGTCATCTCATTCAGCTCAGAGCGGACCTAGAGCACGCTGTGGCAAAACTGTTCTTGGCCTGCCGATTCTAGTGAATTTGTAGCTTTGGGAACGAAACAGTTAGCTATTTTACGAGGGAGCTCAGCTTACACACGGCCTCAATCCATGTCGAAGTATGGGGGACAGAGGAACTGGCTGCTCCATTTTGTGATGGGAAGTCTCATTACTAGCGAATGATATTTTTGGACCTACTTTGGTAAATATTCTGATGGCAAACATTGCAAGAAATGCTATTTTCCTAGTCTGTCCTGCTTTTTTGCAATCAGTACTATTGCATAGACGTGGTTTTCTAATCTTTACAGAAGAGCACACAATTCATATTATAGCTGTTTTCAGTGTTTGAAACGGACGTTTAATGACCCTTTTGCAATCTCATCTCATATCAAATTAACCTAATGTTTTGTATTGTACATAGTAAGATGATTTTTTTAGTCTTTAAAAAGCAGGAAAAGAGTTTTGATTGTAAAAAAAATTTCATGATACAGTAATTAAATGTTGAAGTCTCTTTCAACCTAACGATGGTATGTTTTAGTAAATTATAAGGTAAAAAGACTGAAGAAAGCAAGAATCATGCTAGAAAAAAATATAAAGTCCTCCTTATTACAGCTCAGTGTATAAATTAAAATAAGTTATTTGGGACACAGAAATATGTTGATGTAACGTTTCTGTAAAATCACACCGCCTCTGGGGGTTGCCTGTCTTTTTTGGCAAAGAGGGAAAAAGAAAAAAAAAAAAAAAAGCAACTATCTTACCAGGGTCACACTTAACTGAGTCTTTGAACTAGTGTTGTGATTGTGCTTTTGAACCAGTGATACTGTAGAACTCTTGCTTTTGATTAGTCTCTAGCATTTAACTGGTAGCTGTCAAGGTTCAGACTCACATTGATACAGCTGTTCAGCCGTATTCTTTTGCATCCCCAAAGTGTCATGCCATGGATTTTCTTTAATGAAAACTTCCGATTTCATGAGGGTTGTAATGACTCCGACAAAAACATAGACCTGCATATTGCAAAACCTTACCTTTATTTTACTTCCCCTGTTTCATGAATTCAAGGTGCTACTGCTGAATTTCAGGTTTCTCACTTGCATGCTAACTTCTATAATCACGTCCTGTCGTCAGCTAGAAGGAATGGATGCTAAAGCTTTTGTGGATGTCCCTTTTAATTCATGTTAGAGACTCCCAGACTTCTTGATAGAAAATCCCTCTTGGGACTACTTCTCCCAGGCCAAATCAGGTGGAGTACTTCCTTTCATTCGCTCTTTCATCGCTTCCGAAAATGTTTTCTCGGTTCTTCTAGGAAGAGTTTATAACTAATCAGTGCTTATCTACATCCTGCAGTTTGAGACCTATTGGTTAAAACATTGAGCTTGTGTGTTACACTCTTAATAAGAAATGCACTTGAAATTTCATCTTTGCCTTTGGTTTTAAGACCTTTACCTCAATAGGATCGATTTGTTTTATTTGCTAATTTCTTAAAGAGTGTGCATTCCAAAATCAGGCAGAGGTAAAGCAGATCTTGAAAGCCTTACTGGTCATGTTTAAAAACATTTGAATTTTTCTCACCTCTCCTGTCTCTTGATGTTTTGCATTATAAGAAATGAGAAATGGAGGAGACTGTCAATCCAGGAAACTTACTGAATATTAAAATGTTTTGAGTAGTTCTGTTCTGATTTTAGCAGTTGCATTGCTTTCATTTAAGATATTGTAATTAATTTTCAAGAGCATAATGATTTTGCACAGTATATGACAAAATTCTTCCCCTGTTCAGCCAATCTCATAGTGCTCAGAACGACAGAGAAGCTTTCTTTTGATCTATCAGTTTGAAGTGCTGACCTTAGGAGACCAAAACAATTACTTTAATACAAAGCCAAAAATTTCAGTTGAGATATAATGCTACAAATTTGTCACAGCTCATGGTCTTGTTTGGCTGTAAAAAAGCTTAAAATCCATTTTTACTGTCTGTCAGTGTTACTTCAGAAACCTGGTTTGTTCATGTTATTTTAAAAAAATATGCTGTACTCTTTCAGTAGACAGCTCTTGAGAAGGTTATTTTGATAAAAATGTGTAATTCAGAAAGTTAATCATAAGTCTATTTTAACATTTTCCTAGCTGTTTTATAAATACAGGAAAATAGTGGAAACCACTTTTATACGTAGGTGCCCATAAGTAGTTGCATAAAATAGTGCACGAGGTAGACATATCTAAAATTAATATGCACTTCAGGTGTTTTTTGTACAGGTCTAGGTGACTTGTGTACACGGTGCATCCAGCTGCAACTCGTGTCATTGCATACGTGCTCATACAATTACTCCCTGTAACTTCAGGAGTCTGACTCTAGTCGATTGTATAACTACTGAGAATCTGGAGCTCAAAACACCGGAAGAGGTTAACACTGGTTCTTGCATGAATTCATTTCAACTGTAGTGATGCTTTACTGGATCATGGAAGTTCATACCTTGCCCCCATGCAGGATTGTTCTTCAGCATGTATGTTTTAAAACATTGTTACTCAAAAAAGCTACTGGAGATGTGGCTTCCTTTTAGAGTTCTTACGGAGCCCAGTAAACGTCACCACCTTTCATTGATATCTTTCTTTAATTAAATTATCCCTTATTTTCATAGCAAAGGGCTAGCAGGGACCTACAGTGATGGCAATATCAGTTCCCAACCTCAGTCTGTTCCATGACTATTCTTACTGCCAGACTGTTTTTCTGAAGACTCAATTCAGTAGCCCGAAGATCAGCAGCTAGTGTATTTGAGAGCTGCTAGGATATCCAAAACATCTTCACTTGGGGCGGACAGATGTGACAAGACCCACAGAAGACTTCTGTCTTCCTGGAGCAGCACAGAGGCAGAACTGAGATCAAGGGCAATCCAGATGACACTGGATGCTGGTATTGAGGCATATTAGGCTTGCCACTACTGTCTTAACTAGATTTTACTCACTTTGATTTAATGCAGTTACCTACTGTGGGCAAGGAGGACAGTTTACTACTCCTTCTTTACAACCATCTTTCCTGTATTTGAATACTTTTATCACTGTTGTCTTTGGCCTTCTCTTCTCTAGACCAATTAGCCCTGTTTTTTCAGCCTTTTTCAACAGGACATGTCTGCTGCATTTCTGTTCGATCAGGCCTGCTGGCTTTCTCCCAACTCTTCATCCGGTTCATGTCTGTCTTGAAGTATTTGTGGTGCCTAGATGGCACCAAGTGCTCCAGCTAGGAGTGAACAGTGCCGACTACCATGGGAGGTTTCCTTCAGTTGTCCCATAGGCTATTCTCCTCTTCGTACATCCCTGTGGTACATTTGTGTCTGCAGCAGCTTGACTCTCTTGATCTTTGTTCAGACTGTTCTCCTTTCCCCCCCGAATTGTTATGTCACCAGTTATTTCCTACTTGGTTCTTGAGTTCATTGTTCCTGCCTAAGTCTATAATCTTGCACTTGGCCTTTTGGAATTGCATCCTGTTTTTGTAATTTTCCAGTTCAAGATGATTTTGAATTCCTATTTTATCTTTCAGCATCTCCAAGATGAGTTGTGGTTGTGGACTTGATAGCTTAATCTGTATCACAACATTAGTATTTTTAAATTGCTTTTTAAACCCAGGTTTAATCATTTCCATGGCGCCCACAATTTTCAAATACTACTGTTTGTCAGAATTCTTGGCAAAATCACTTACCTCATACGTGTGAGAAAATATAACCCTATGAGATTTAGCGTATAATTCCAACTAAAATAACTTTTTGCATTTGTAGCATCTTCTTGAAATGCCTCTGTTTAACTGTAGTAAAAGCTTCAAGCAATGCTAATTACGGCCTTATTTTATAGCTCTATAGTCTTTATGTAAGCTTATTTTCCTTTTTTCTCTCCTAAAGAAAAGAGCGACTGGTGTATGTGGGTATCAGTATTGAGAACATCATTCCACCTCAAGTAAGTTACTGTGTCTATGTTGTATTATTCTTTGATTTCTTAAAGCTTTTAATTGCAGTAGTTGTATGTTAGATTATCAAGAAGGGCGTTAATGTAAGATTCTGGCATTGTTTTTAAGAGGGGAGATCTATCAGCATTGTTCTAAAAAAAAAAAAAAAACCTAATAAGGATTCTGGTGTAATCATTTACTTAGATGATTTTCTGGTTAATCTTTTAAATTATTGGTCCGTTATTGGCTGGATTTTCTTTCTTATTATTCAAGTACTAACGTTAATTGTGTGTATTTAACTTCTGTAACTTTCAGAAGATTAATTTCTAGACTCCTCAAGGAAGAAGATTCTCAATGATGTGTTAGAGGCTCCAGGAGTACTTAGGGTGGGGGGAAATGTACATGCAAATCAGAAATAGTTCTAGGGCCTTCAGTTTAGACTGAGCATGAATTTACTGGGGAAACCAAGGGAGCTTTATCTTGTATGCGAGCACCAACTGGTGCCACACAGAACCTCAGTCTTTTGAAGGATCTCAGAACCATCTTCCCTCCATTGCTTACACTTGGCTTTTGAGTAGAGCGCTCTGCCATGCTGTAGATTATGAGAGTGGGATTCAGTGTATCTGCCTTAGGTGTCTTAGATGTCTACTGCAGAGTCATCTCTGTCTCAGCAAATCATCATAGCATGATAGAAACGTATTTTACCTTAGCCTCCAACAAGTGTTGTATTAGAGTTAGATTGGGTGAAGAACCGTAACATCTCAAGTGTTTTATTAACAGATGTTTTTATATGGTTTCCTTTTTACAGACGAGAGAAAGGTTTTTACTTATGCAGCAAATGTCTTTTTTCTCACTACTTAAATACATATTAAAGTGATTTTCTTAGCCTTAGCCAGATGCCTTCATCCAAAATGAACAGATCCAAAATCTGTTCTTGCAGGAAAGTTTCAAATGAAGCTTATCTTTGTTTTAACGGTAGACTTTCCCTCTAACTTTCTGTAGTAAAGCAAACTTTCTCCCTCTGCCTCTGGATAACAAAAATGGTAAAAGATTTTACAGACTTGAAGAAATCTCTGGCTGGGAGCAAATGTTTGAAAAATTCATCCTGGGGACAGATTTTTTTTTTTTTTAAATTAAGAACTTGAAAACAATATCATAAAAATAACCTGCCTGGAATTTCATTGAAACTGTACCATGTATTGGTTTTAGTAACATGTAAGAGTAGAGAAAGTCCCTGAAAAGAAGACCTAAGCAGTTGGCTCTATAGAGTCAGCAGTCACTGTAGGGGCACAGACGCACAGTCCTGGGGCTTGGTATGTAGAGACCTGTGCCAGCAACAATTGGTTCAGCTGTTGCATTTACAAGTCCTGAAAGTATCACCTGAGTCATAATCACAATATTTTAATATAAACGTAATGTTATAATAACCTGAATCTTTGAACTGTGTATTTGTGGAATTATGTTGCCATTAAGGCAATATGAGCGAGCATTCATGTGAACTGTGCACTGCAATGTAATTATACTGGTACCTGAAATGTGCTGTATTGGATATAGAAGCTATTAATATGAACACGAGTTAGTGCGAGTTGAGTCCTAATAAATCTGGAGGAGAGGGCAATAAAGCTCTCTGATGCTTTTCTTATGCAAGCAGGAACCGGAAATACCAGAAGGTCAGGAAGAAAAGAAGAAAGATTCCAAAAAGCCAAAATCAAAGCTGCTTGAAAGGAGGTCTACTCGAACCCGGAAGTGCATAAGTTATAGGTAGGCAGCTTATTTAAATAGCTGTTCAGAAAACTCAATCTGACTTTATTTAATTGTTGTTTTTTAGTAACTTTTAAATTCAACAGCGAAAGTCATACTAAAGAAAATGTTATTGCTGTTTTTGGAAAGTAAGCATTCCTGTAAGGAACATGGTGTCACAGGCAAGATAATATAGATTTGCTGTTATGTTCATGACAGGTCAGGCAGCATCTGACCAGGAGAAAACATTCTTGCCCGTAGGATATTTGGCATTACTTCAGTGGAATGCACGTTGTGCAAAGACAGTAATTTTTTACTGGAAATAATGCTTAAATAATGCTGCTCCTGCAACTCAATCTTCTGATACTCAGTGACAGAGTCTGTCTTACAGACTGTATCATACGCATAACTTTGAGCTGATGAATACATTATGAATGTGCACTGTCGGCGTGTCTCTTGAAATTCATATGTCCACGGTGAGGTCCTACTTAGCGTCAGCGAGAGTTTGCATGCTTTCCTTCAGTGGGGGAAAATAAATGCTAAAAATCTTATTCCACCCAGAGATAAATCTGTATTGTGCAGCGTGCTGGTTCTCTGCAGATATGTCATCCCTTTGTATCATCTCAGTCATCTGTTTCGTCCGCTGATGAACAGGTTAGCAGAACTCTCCACTATTGAATAAAGCAGCAGCAGCACAAGTTATGCTCCTTACACCTAATGGACAAGCAATCATCAGCTCGTGTTCGATATCAGAATATTTATTAACAGTGGTTTGAAAGCCGCATTTCAAAGAAAGCGTCTTAATGGTGCAGGGGGGAAATAGTGTTTGAGTGATTTGGAGCAAATCTTGATGGAATAATTTCAGTTACTTATCTTACTGTAAAGCTGCCTTAAAGGTGACATGCAGTTGTTCTTAGGGTATATAGAGAGACCAGAAATCACCTGATTTTTTTTAAAGAAGAAAATGTTTTGTGATTACGATTGGAATACAGAGGAATGTTAGATTTTTTTTTTTTTTTTGCTTTTCCTGATAGAGGTTACAACGGAGGTCCAAGGTAAACATGATTGGAACTTTTCTTTCTTTAGTGAATGAAAAGCCGCACCGTGAATGAAAGTGTTGTCCAATTGCTAATCATTTTATTTAAAAAATAGGCAAATGAAATGAAGAAAAACATCTAAATAAAATGCCTTTCCTCTAAGGTTAATAGCATTTGTATTTATACTAATAGCAAGGTATCTGTTAGTACATGTAACAGTCCTTTGAATTCATCACTGAGGAAACAATCTGAAAGAGTTCTTTCTGTGTAAAAGGGATGGATCCTTTCTCCTCCTTTTCCTCCCTTTAAATTAATTACTGCATGTGCAGAGATTTATACAGTTTTATAAAAGCTGCTGCAGGAGAAGCATATCTGAATATTTTGGTTTTGTTTTTACTATTTAGTTATGTAACATGATTAGCGTATTTATATCTAGTAAAGAAGAACTCTTTTAAAAAGAGTTCTGCTCTTCAGCAGGGTATATTTTATCTGTTCAGCTCAGAATGCTGCAAATCCATAACATGTAATTACTGTGAGCGTTAAGAGCAGCAATGGAACCATCTGGAATAAGTTTTCAAGGAAAACAGTTTGAATAATAATACTTTAATAGATGCTTTTCAGAAAGTCTGTTTTGCACTCAGTAGTGCATGCGATATCTAAATAAAAGGTGTGGAAAAATTGACCAATAAATATTTTGTGCTGAAATCTTCTTAAGAGTTTTCAAATTATATACTGTATGTATACTGTACAGTAGTATGTCCTGTAAAATTAAGTGATTTTCTGTTCCTGTAAATCAACAGTAAGACAGACAGGTAGTGATAAATATTCTGCTAGCAAGGAGATATGATAAACATACCTTTTCAAAAAATCATTATTTTACCACATATCCAGCACATTACTTATGCAATCTAATTTCTTAGAGCAATTTTAGATTTCAAGGTATGTTTTCATAATATAATTTAATTAGGTTTCTTTTCAAAGTAGTAAATGACATGTTATTTTTAGGTTTGATGAATTTGATGAGGCTATTGATGAGGCAATTGAAGATGATATTAAGGAGGCTGATGGAGGAGGTATGTTTCTGATATTATTTGTTTTTCATTGCAATAGTGATAAGAATGCTAAGACCAAATTTATTCTGATACCAGAGGCAACAAATGTAATCCTGTCCCCTGGACTGCATAGGTTAGTTTTTACTACTGTACTTTTAGACCCAAACTAAATAATTTCCCTCAATAATGGGCATTCCAAGTTAAAGATACAAAAAATATTTGATCTGGATAGTTAAATTTAGCTTGTATGTTTTGACATATGAAAACAATGAATAAGCATTGCAAGAAAAATGTTAACATTAATTCACTAAGTTTTGAATTGGAGATTGCAGTGTCAGTGCTGCTATTGACATTTGTCACATCTAGAAACTGGGTTCACAGATTGGTCCGCAATTGGACCTTCTAAAAATTTGGTCCACAAAGCCAGCGTCCTTGAAAATGTTAATTCAGATCTGTAACCACCACTAAGTGGCACTGTGAATGAAGTGAAATTACGTTCCTTGTTGTCCCTTAAGGCAACGTAAGGGATGAAAAGAGAGATCTTCAAAAAATACGTGGGAGGTATAGATGGATTTCATCTTCGACATCACCTTAATTGGCGTGGAGAAAACTCCCATGAAACCATTAATCCCTCGTTTGTATGGCTTTTGGCATCTCCATAAAGACACCTGTTTTCAGAAAGTCAAGACAGCCTAAAAATCACCTGTTATGGCTGTAGGCGTCTTAACACAAGAACCGTATCATAAGCTTAACTAAGTCTCAAAACAGTAAAATCAGCTCTTCAGAAACTCCACTCACTGATCAAACAGCACTTAAGGCACAAACTTTACAGCACACAAACTTAAAGCACTTCATCTTCTAAGAGAGTACTAAACATTATGAAGAAAAGACGTATTTTCTGATATTTATACCCCTCCAAAGGTACTAACTTTGGGCATAATGTGAGGTGGGGTTCAGTGTCAGATTGTTGACGCTTACTGCGATGACCTGCGTTGACTTCGGTATTGCCTTCTGACCACAGCAGAGTCTGTGAGTGTTAGGAACAAGACTCCAGACAAAGTCTTGCATGACAAAAAATGATTCTGCTTAATAGAAAAGAAGCTGAAATTATAGGCCTGGAGGAAAGATATATTTAAAGTTGAATTAAAAAATTAACTTGCTGGGTTTTTTTTTCCTTCCCTTTCTATCTCTAAATATAGGCATTGGCAGAGGCAAAGACATGTCTAATATCACAGGTCACCGTGGGAAGGACATTTCCACAATCCTAGAGGAAGAAAGGAAAGAAAATAAGCGACCACCAAGGGCTGCTGCAGCACGTCGCAAGAAACGACGGCGACTAAACGATCTGGATAGTGACAGTAATCTGGATGAAGAAGAGAGTGAGGATGAATTCAAGATCAGTGATGGGTAGGTCTGCAGTTGAGCTTCCACCATGAGTCACTGACTGCTGCAGGTTTGAGTCACTGACTGCTACAGGTTTCTGTGCTTCTGCAGTGCTCCTAGAACTGTCATAGGAGCATGCGTCCAGTCTTGAAATGTCATTGTACCGTAGAGGAACACGATAGTACTGGAAAATCTGTGCTCTAAATCCATACACTGAAATCTTCCAACCTCTATTCTAGGCAAAACTTGTTTCAGAAGTTTTCCTGGTGTGTTTTGAGGCCACACCATGGGATTCTATACACAGTTACAGTAGAGAAGGTGCCAAATGTGCTCAAACCTCTTAACTGATGTAACCTACTAGCAGAAATCTTTAGCAAAGATAAAGTTAAATGAGGCTTGCTGTTTCATTTTAAAACTACAGCAATTTTGTGAGATTTTTGTTAGGCCTAATTTCCATATAGAAATTGGAAAAGTAAAATTTCTCCTTTTAGAGTATACAAAACTTCAGATGTAGGTTGTGAAATCAGCTCTCGACTTTTGCTTTCTAAGTCTTAGAAAACACCCAAAGAGGCAGTTTATACTGCAGAAGACAAGTACGTGACACGAAGCTTTAAACACTGAATGAACATTGCACTGGCTAACGGAAGCTCTTTCTTTCCCTGGGATATCTAATCTTTCGGTTTGGGGAATTCCTAACGTAAAAAAAATTAGTAATAATTTTAGCCCTCCTTTATGCTACAATAAAGAAACATAATGGAGCATGAGCTCTGATTTCTTTACGATCAGCTTTTAAAGCTTACGCTAGTAACTGAGCCAATGTACTAAGTTTATGGATGGTCTCTAGAACATATTTTGTAATAGACAAAAATATCTTTTGAGCTTCAGTGTTCACATATGACTGCACTGAGGGCTTTTCAGTGGCACCCTGAATAGTTGAGCTAAATGTGCTGGAAATTTCCTATGAATAAATGTAGTTTGCAGAAAGTCTCACAGAATTAATAGTGCATTGATCTGTTCAAGCGTATCCATGCATTTTTGACTCAGTTCTCTGCTGAATGCCTGCTGGATGTTTTGCTGGAATTTACATTCAGCTGGCAGCCAGATCTAAGTGACTATATACCTTCAGTGCTCAGCTGTTAAAAGCACTGGCTCACTTTTGGAATAATGGGAGTTTTATAAGCTGATAACATAAGTTTGTGAGGTACATGTTTTGCATAAGAGCGACAGCTGTATATTAAGACATAATGTTCTAAATCTCAGAAATTGCGTAGGATGGTGCTTGGCTGGTAAAGGGAAAGTCAAGAAGAAACATGTTCTGGCTGACATGACAAATCATGCTCATCCTGAGTTATTGCTCTGCAGATGTTATGTTAAAGTGTACTATGCGAGCACTATAGAATTTGTCCTATATAAATGTCACCTGCAGTCTCAGTGGGATGTAGCGTTGACATTCATCAGCTCTTCTGATCTGTTGCGTAATGTCATGGGCTGTAAAGGTTCCTCCTGAGCATACAACTGAAATTTAACATCAGTGATGGCAGTCTGCTCTCTGGATATTTGTTACATCTCATTATTACTGTGAGATTTGTACGTTATTGTGAAAGCCAGTACCTGCTTTGCATGTATTACTTAGACATGCTCTCATCATATTACACGCATGATTCCCCTTTGAACAGATCTCAGGATGAGTTTGTTATATCAGAGGAAAATCTGGATGAAAGTGAAGACGACCCACCATCAAATGAAGACAGTGATTCAGAGTTCTGTGCTCGCATATCCAGGCGACATCTCTCCCGGCCCATGAGGCAAAGTAGGCGGTTACGAAGGAAAACAGTCAAGAAAAGATATTCTGAAGATGATGAAGAGGAAGATTCGGAGGACAATTCAAGCAGAGAGTCTGGTGAGTGTACTAAGTCTTTTAAACTTACTGTATGTTCTACATGAGGAAGCGTGAAAACCTCAGTTTCCTGTCATGGCTTTACCAGTGCTTTGTTTGGTAGCTTTGGTTGAGTTGTACGTCATCTTTGCTCCCTGTCCGTAACGCAAATTAATGCTTGTTTGTCATAGGGGTTAAAAAATGAAAAATACACTTTGTTTGGTACTCGTTTCCCTTATATGCTGTCGTGGTATGCAAAATTTTCTCTTCTCAGAGTGTTCTGCTGTGAGTATTCTGAAGGAAACAGGTACTGAGCACTAGGTTCTTAGCATTTTAAATAAAAATGTACTTCCATGTATGCTCAGTGTTATGATTCAAAAGGGCACCTTTGTGGACAGTTTCAGGTATCCCTTGCCTTCCTGTTCTGAACGTGAGTGCAGGGAAGGGTAAGCATGGAGGTGAAAGTATACTTCTTATATCTACTTGAAGACCTTCCGAATACCTTTGAAAAAGCTTCTTCTGAAAGAAACATTTTCCCTCACTTTGTATGGAAGAATAATTCCTTCAGCTGCAGTGAACTGTTGTATGGCATTCTGTGTTGTCTGGTAGGCTTGAAGGCAAACTTTGTAACTAACTAACACCTTGAATCTCTCTCTTCTGCAATTATCTTTTTTGGTCTTTAGTAACAAAAGACTCTTCCATCACAGGAGCACCTAATGTTTCACTTTATTGTACTTATCCTTCACCGAGTTCATTTTCTGTTTGTACAGTTTAAAGTATGAAAATAATACCTATCTGAAGACAAGAGCAGTAGAACCAGCTTGAATTAAAAAAGAGATTTTTTTTTCTTATGTAGCTTTTAATGATTAGCATCTTTTTATGAAGATTGTCCTCTGTGTTTTCGCTACATTTGAGATCCAGTCCTATAAAGTGCTAAATATCCTGAGCACTTACCCTGAATTTAAGTACACTGGAGCGTTGACTTGCTGTACAGGGTATGATGCCTTTTCAGTGTTTTATCTGTCTTTCTGGAATATAGAGGAAGAAAAACACGTTGGAATAGGTGGCTTTGAAGTAATGATTTCCAAAAGGAGTGTTAATGCAGGGACAGATTAAGGATAGGTATATGCGCTTAAAAAAATTGCTGTCTGCCTGTCCTCAGTGCATCTCTGCACTAGGTGTGAGCTGCAGTTAATGAAGATTAGGAACTAGAGGTTCTAAAGAGATTGCTCATCTACTGTGTAATGCATAAAAGCAGTTTCATTTGTTTTCTGGTGGGCATGTATCTGTGACAAAACCAGAACCCCATACCATGCCATCAGAGACATCCTGCTTGAGAAAGAGCAGAAAGAGGAAATACTGAATGCAATTTGTTTTCTTATTTTCATGGCAAAATGATGTTGGTAGAACCTTGCCTAGCTGATTCCAGTATCATTCCTTATATATCTAAGGTATAGTCCTAACTCTGTGTTTCTTTCTTCACCCCTTCTATTGTCCCTCAGGACCCTGCCTAACCTTATTTTGGGCTAAAGAAAGAACGCATCCTGTGAGTGGCTTTGTTTTCAGTTTCCAAAGATGGAGTTTCCTTCTGAAGGTTGTTCTGCGTATTGACTTGCTCTGATTCTTTCTTTAATATTTTAGGAGGTAAAGAGGATGCCACTTTGATCTGTGATTCATGTAAATCAGTAGCATAAAAGAACAATATGTGACATGTATAGCAATGTTGTACTGTGAGCTTGGGATAATTGTTTTGGCACAGCTCAATCAAAAAGCAGCTAAAGTTGATCCGTAGCTATTTCCAACGGTTGAAAATGTAAATAAGTTTAATTCTCAAAGACACTAGCTGCAGTAGAGTGGTGCAGGGAGAACAGTGAATGATGGTAAGTTTCTTCTGTAAAATTTCTGCTTTGAGCAAACTTAGGAACTAGTGAGGCTGACTTTGCTGTTAATGACGTGATGTTTTAAAGTCAGATCTTACCTGGACTTCAGTTTCATCTTGTCAGTGTTTTTGCATGTACCTGTTGTCAAAACTGTTTGAATAGAATACAGTTTATTTAAATTGACATAACAGAAAGAAAGCACTTGCCAGTGGAAGTGGTAACGTGTGTAGGTCATCCGCTCTGATTCAGTCAGGTTGTTCCAGCTGGCAGGAATCGTAGAGGAGGTATCTTGGACACTAGTAGAGAGGTGAGAGAACAAACAGAGAGAAAGGAAACCTGTTCTGGAGGAGTTGGAGGGAGGACAAAGAGAGGTTTGTGAGAAGATTTTAAAAGCAGGCAATTCTAAGCTGGCAGTGAATGGGGGAACTGGTGCATGAGCCTGGAACAGGTCAAGGTAATGAGACGCGATTGCTGAGGCTCTCCTGCATTTGAAGAGTGCTTGATTTTATTGGTGCTGGCCTAAAGCTTACCTAAATTGTGCAGTTTCATTTTAATGGAATAATGCACGTGGCTGTTTTCTTCTGTGCAGAAAGTGCTGATTACACAGATTACAGTGATGATGATTACCTGGAAACTAGGAGAAGATCAAGACGGAATCAGAAGAGACAAGTTAATTATAAGGAAGATTCAGAAAGCGATGGCTCACAGAAAAGTGTCCGATATGGAAAGGAGTTGAGACGTTTGCATAAACGCAGACTTTCCACTTCAGACAGTGAAGGTAAAACAAACAGTACACCATTTGCAGGAGCTGGCAAACGTGAGCATTTTAGGCTAAAGAGGGAAATGTTTGTGTAGTTCAGAGATCCACAAGCTTCTTTGTAGAGTTGCTTAATGTTTCTCAGAAACTTTCCTTCTGAAACACTCCACTGATGCTTAATGATGCATTGTTACAGCTACTTCTCAAAGTCTCTGTTACCTCTAATACTGACTTCCCAGTCTGAACTTACTATGTCTCAGAGGAAAACTGAGATTCCAAAATTGTAATTAATGGAATTATGTTGTCACTTTGCTGTTAAGAGGTCACAAGGCCTCGTCCCGTAGTTCTTTTAAAGATTCTCTTTTGTAATGCAAGAGAAAAGGGTATTACTTCTGGTACCGTAGTTGTATTTGTGCTGGTAGTTTTGTCACCCTGTGCTCCTCTGTACTTGTTAAGATTCATTCTGTCTCCTGTTTTAAGGTGCTGTGCTAAGTACAGGTATATAGTTGTTATAGTCCATCACAGAGTAAGCCTGCTCTCAGTAATGTCAGTCACAGACAGAGTGTGACCACTATATTTTGATGTAAAATTAGCTTTTTCAGAAGCAGCCGCTGACTTTGGGTGCTTTGCACTCTGGACACCCAGCTTATGAGACACCTTAGGGCTGGCTTTCAGAGATGCAGAGCGATATTGCAATGGATGCTAGGCTTCCTCAGAAAATCAGCCATTCTTGACAAGCTGAGTATCTCTGATTTGTCGATAAGTTTTGGAAGTGGTGGTTTGAATTCACAAAATGCTATAGGATCCTCTTAGATGAAGAGCATTAAGTATGTAATGCAACCTTAAAAACCTGTAATGCAATCTTAAAAATTTGATTTTACGCTTTAATTCACAGCCCCTTCTCAGAAGTAGGATGATTACGCTCTTTCTGCTAAAAATCTGCTACGTGGTGACTGAGGTGTTTGCTGCCTGCATTTCTAACTTTAAACAGTGCCTGGCTAACTGTGTTTTCTGCGTGAAATCCATCCCATTTCCTTAGGTGTTTTTGGTACTGGCTCTCTGCATGCTAAAATCAGTACCGTTAAGTACCATTCCAGCAGTTTCCCACAGTTCTAAGGTGATACAAAGTATGTAGCAATGTACCTGGAAATGTCATTATGGTGAGAACACTGGAATTCTGGCAGAGTCTCTAGCAACTTGAACTCACGTTAATATCTTTTACATACAATTCATAGGCATTTCTAGTGGAAAAAGCAAGAGGAATGCAAACGGTGTTGGCCATTTGATCTTCTGTCTCAGTCTTTCCCCACCGACACTGTTAAGGGTCAGTGTAAAGGCTGTCAGCGTGTAGACAGTATTCCACTTTGCAGGAAAGGGCGTATATCTTTTCTGAAGACAGTATAGCCATTAGTTGGGCCCTGAGTTCCTGGAAGGGTGTGAAGTAGATGCTGTGAGACTAGCGTTACAGTTTGGTGTTATTCCTGGCATGTAATTATCCCTTTCATGGGGGGAGTTCACCTGCCTCTGAAGCCTCTGGTGCTCCTCAGATTGAGAACAGAATGCCAAATTCTTGGTCTTTGCTACCTCAGTTTCTTTAAAAAGCAAAAAGAATGCATGCGTGCTTGTTGACGTGGTTGCAGAATACCTGTCTAGGACTGGGGAACTGAGGAAGGAGACTGAAATGTATGTTTTGAGAGAGGAACGGCTTTTAGAAAGAGCAAGTGTAAATGTTTTGCTTGCGTTCAGATTTGCTAATGGCTTTAAGTCTGCTGCTTATTCCAGAGAGCTACACATCTAAGAACTCTGAAGACGATGAATCCACAAAGGAGTCAAAGCGACTGATTCGAAAACGTAGGCGAAGTACAGGTGAATACTCCGAAGGAGATGAAGGAGAGGATGAAGAAGACGAAGGGAGACCTGTCCGCAAACGACTGAATCGAATTGAAACAGACGATGAAGATAACTGCGAAAATGCTAACGATGACGCAGAAAACCCTACTCCTGCAAATAAGCTGCCAGCCCCACAGGCTCCTCAAGACAACACCAAGAAGCCCTGCTACCGGATAGAAAGCGATGATGAAGATGACTTTGACAATGTAGGGGAAGGAGAGAGCCCTTTGGACTACAGCCTGGTGGACTTGCCTTCCACCAATGGACAGAGCCCAGGTAAAACCATTGAGAACTTGATTGGCAAACCGAGCGAGAAGACCCAAGCCCCCAAGGACAGCACAGCCACTGCCAGCCTGGCACCCAACGGGACAGGGAGTGGGCAGGAAGCAGTAGGGCCAGAGGAAGATGAAGATGAACTTTTGAGAGTGACTGACCTTGTTGATTACGTCTGTAACAGTGAACAGTTATAAGACTTCCATTTTTGTGCTAATTTATTCCACGGTAGCTCATACCAGCGGGCCAGTTATTAAAAGCTGTTTTATTTTTCCTAGAAAATTCTCCACTACAGTATCACTTTTTAGAAGCAAGAATTTCACCAGTCCTGCAGTCTTTCTGTGAAGTGACCAGTTTTGAACTTTGAAGATGAATTGCTGTAAATTCCCTCTTTTACCTCCCTTCTCCTTCCAAGTCCATGGTCCTGGGTAATTTCACTCACAAAAACCTTATAACAACAAGAGATTTGTATATTTTTGACTTTATATTTCCTGAGCGCATACAAATTTGTGGAAATGGGTGGCCTAAGAAAGCATTCCAAATCGGTCAGGGCCCAAACCGGAACTGGGGTGGGTTTGGCTCATGGGGTGGGTGGGGTACAGAAGCACTTGTGCTTTAGCTTTTTCATATGAGATATATATTATATTTAAATGTTCACAACTTAGATTTCAACTTAACAGACAGTTTAAAAAATCAATGTCTGTACTGTTGCATCTTGTGAGTTGTAGGTTAACATGCCATAGCTCATTTTAGTAATCACCTTCATGGAAGCAGTTTGATTTTAATACTGGAGGTAAACACAGTTAATAAAGAGGCCAAGAAGGTACCACAAACGAGAACTCTACTATCCATTATGACTTGCAGACTTTCCTAATAAACATCCTTTAAAGTGTTTGTACAGTAAAGTGTACTGTAATGAACTTTTTGACAGTTGAAACATGCTAGCAATGAATTTATACAGCTGTCTCATGCATAGTTCATCAGATGGTCTTTAATACACAGTGTCTAGTGGGAGGACATATTGATACGAAGCGAGTCTGTAAAATTGGATGGCATCGTGAAGTGCTGCAGACTTTTACAGACACCAGAACCCTACAGTAGCTGCCTGGCCACTTGCATTTAACCATCTGTTGGAGTATTTTGAATGAAACATGTTTGTACATACTGCATTGACCACAGAATTACAACGCATCAAATGATTGAGGGATTTTCAAATAAACCGTGACTGGTCCATTCATGTCCTTAATATCTACTTCAAATTGAAGTAAACAAATGGAACAGTTTTCCTTTTGGAGGTTTTCTGTTTGGAGTTTGTGTGTGTTTTTGTTTTGATTTTACTTATCTGCCTGGATGTATTAGCAGGTTTTGAATGTAGTGCTGGCCTTTGGCCGTTAGAACTTTCTTAAAAAATACATTTTAATAATTGTCATGTGACCAACAGATTTCAAGAAGGCAGTATTTCTGAGAGAAAACGCATGACTCCAAGACATCTCATCAACTTTTGAGCGGGCGTGAAGTGTTATGTGCTTCTGTTACAACAACAAAATGGAGGCTACAAAAGAAAAAAAAAAACACACACATCGAGCACATACGAAAGAGCAAAGCTGAAATTTGTTTTGGGTACCATTCAGTTTTCTCTTTATTCTGAATTAAGATGCAGGCTGTAGCGTTTGCACATGTTGTAGCACACAGACGACTAAAACAAATCTGCCAAACGTTGAAATCCGAAAAGGTCACATCTATTAATCCTTTTGCTCTGAGATTTGGATTTTTTGACTGGTGTTTATGTCCGTTGCCGGCAATGGATGCACCAAAACTGCTGCTGCCACCAAGGAGTGAGTTCTCCTTTCCTGCCCCACCTGATTCCCTACCATTATATTGTATTTACTAGTCAGTCATTAAGCACTTCTGTTTTCTTGTAATAAAAGTGGCATTAGGCCTTTACTAAATACCTCTCTAGAAAACGTAGATCCAAAAATACCTACCTTCTGGCCTTGCAAGTCTTGTTTGTGTTTCCCCACCTCTCTCTCCATGAGTTCTGTCGGAACCACTCCGTAACGCCTGCTTATCTGGATTCTAGCGGTGCAGATATCCTGCTATAAAACTAGATTCATCGCAGCTGCAAAAAGATAGAACTCACTCATTATTTGCTACGCTAAACAAGTTGGTGATTTAAAAAAAAAAAAATGAAATCACTCTCTTTCTAAATGAGAATTTAATTCCATTAAAGATTAAATATTTTTCCACCTTATCAATGTTAACTATTAACAGTTTTCATAACCAGATGCTAAAACAGGGTAGCGAAAAGCCACGGAAGTTTAGAAGGTGTTCTTAAAAGCATATGTAGCATTTTAAGCTACTACAGTGCTTTTCTTTGCCTAGGTGATGCATAAATGTAGTGCTTCTACATTTCTAATATACTTGTGTTTTAAAGCAAGCAAGAACATATGGCTTCCACTTTTCAATGCTGATAATTGCTGAGCATTTTTAATATTTGCAGTGCAAACTGTCAAATGCACGTGCAGCAACACTGTGCAACCAACGATTTCTCATTTGTTTTGGCAGTGCCATAAGCTTTCTTTGCTGCCTCATGGAGCGGCTTAGTATCTGATCAGTGCTGTAGCAAACGTTCTTGCTTGTAGAGTCAACTCCAAATGTTAAGTACTTAGTGGACAAGTAATTGTAAATGTAGGAAAATACAAAGGAGTTAGTTCTGAGTATACCCACCGGGAAAAACAATTGAGTACTGAGTTAGGGAGCGATGTAGAAGCAGAAAAGATCAGAAGGCAGAATTGGAGCGCTGAAGCTTACAACAGGAGCGTCAGGTTTCATAAATGTGGAAGGATAAATTGTTACAAAGTTTCACTTTCTGTAGGTCACTTTTAAAAAACTTACTTACTCTCCTGTCTTTTAAGAAGTCACCTTTGATACTTGAGACAGCTTCATCCCCTAGGGTCCAGAGTTCCAGCTTAGATCGGGGTGGGGGGGGGGAATTTTTTTCAAGTGAAAACTGCAAAAATTTTCCCCAAAAGTCTTACATTTTCAAACTTGTTATCTTCTGTCGTTTCGAAGACTTCCTGCCGGGTGGAAAATGTACAATATCTTATTTGGAAAGATGTTGTTTTCTGACATGAGGCCAGCTGACTGTGCCACACAGGGTTCATGCTGTTCTTATCGATGTGTATGTGATTCCACAGTGGAAACGTCCTCCAGGTATTTTGGTGTCCTTAGCACCTTGTGCTCTTCTCTACTCCTCAGGAGATCAGAAGTGAAATGTCTTTCAATACTGATCTTCAGGTGTTGCTTTAGACTAACGAGAAAAAGGTCAAACTGTATGAGAGACAGAATAAAAACTGGCCAGGGATTTTTTTTTTAACACGATGGATTTAACAATAAAAGAAAAAACAGCTATCGGCTGAACGTATAAAGCATTTATTCAGTAAACTCTTGTTTGTTCCATACAGGTTGTCCTAAAAGCTGTGTGTTTTGTTTTGTTTTTTGTAAACTGCATACTCTTCAGAGTATAATTGATCGGGAAGAAAGGGAAACGATTTTTAAGTGCAGTTTTAAGTATTATAGGAGAGGGGAAGAAGCTATGAATTGAGTGGGGGAAATGGCCTTTTTTGGTGTGTCGCAGCTCACGTGTATCAGTTACGGAAAGTGCACAGTAGGTCCGCTCTGTAACGAATGAGCCTGGTGCATTAAACTAACCAGAGAAGGGTGGTAGAACTAAGAACTCAAAATGTCACTGCAGTTGTTGTCTTCTAGTTATTGAGTCTTCTAAACCTGAGCATATTCGTGATACGTATTCTGTTACAACACAAAACAACATCACCAAACTACCAAAAAAAAAAAAAAGCCCAAACCCTTAGTATTGAAGTCTTGTAGGAAGATCAGTGCTGAACAATCAACTCTGAGTATCTGATAGTTTGAGTTTGTACATGTTAAATTACATTAGCACATTTTTTTTTAAATGGATGGATGCTCTATTCTAACAGCACTTAAGAGAAACAGAGATGCTTTTTTCTAAATTGTTTATGAAGTATGTCACCCTCCGGATATTTTTGGATTAAAGTGTCTCCGTTGCTCTTTGTACAGTGGGAGCTGATGACTTAGTTTGACTTTTCTGTTCGCTTCTGTTTTCTAACTGCTATAGCTGAAGTCTTTGTGAGAGACCTTACCCAACCTCGAGGCAAATACGTATGTTCACAAAAGAAAAATCGTATGGTAGTGGTCCAGTTGGTTTGATTTATGTTAACATTTATCATTTGAACTATATTGGTATCCAGACGCTGCAACTGTTGAATGATTTTAATGGTGCATTGCCAGGGTGTCCGTTATATACCTCTGTTTTCAGGCGCTTATAACTTGGTTTTCAGTGCTCTTCAATAGGAAAGCCTGGTCTCAAGTTTTCAAATAATTGTTTCGAATTACGTATTTTCACAGGCTTCTTTTATGAAAAGTAAACGAGTGAGTAATTTTTATGGCACCTGCTTTTTTTTAATTCACTTTGTACACCAGTAATTTAAATAAATTATGGCAGTCACGCTAGCTCCCAGAACTGGTCTGATCAAAACATTTGTATCATCTATTTCGAAATGGTAATTTAAGCCTTGAAAATTGGTTTTGGTACATGTGCAGTGACTACTACTCACAGGCTTTTATTATGGATATTACGTGCAGTGTGCACCCTAGATATGTTATTTACGTTTGAAGAGTGCTTCCAGTTCACTGGGTATATAAAATCCTCATATATATATGTATAAATACTAAAAAAAAAATCAACCAAACAAACCACAAATATCTTCAAACAAGCTGTAACTTTCTGAAAAAAATTGTATTCGATGCTGGTGGGGGAAACTCCAGCAATTCATGTGAAAGAGCACAGTTCTGCCATTCCTTAGACATTTACAGCTTCTGTGGAAGCGTTTAGGACTCGTTCGAAATAACGATTTGCAGGATCAAGCCCACTTTTCCTGGCAATCTTACTTTTTTTCCACCCCTTCCATAACAGTCGGGGTATGAACTATATCTCTTAAAATGTTGGAAGACAGAAAATAAAATAAATCAACAAACAACACTTTTTTTTCCCCCAGTATATATTGATGTAAGAAAAATTCTAAATAACTAATTTTTGTTGCCTTAGAGTTGGGCACTCAATCTGAGAGCTAGCAGGGAGCTCTGATTTCAGAAATATTTACCAATGGAAAATTATTCCGGAAGTCAGACACCCAACAATTGAGGTATTGAAGATTACTAGTCACTTCTAAAAACGTGCATCACTTACCAAGCTCTTATTTTAGATTAGGTATAACTAACTGAGATGATTCCAAGCAGCAAAAACAAGTGTGCTTGGGAATTAATTGTCCCAAAGCTGCAGAGTAATTTAACTTATTTTGTATATTGCGAATGATGTATATTGCGTAGCGTGACGCTTAAAAAGATTGTGTACAGCTTCTGGGGGAAAGCACAGGACACTCTAGAGTAGATAAGTGTTTATAACTGAATATGTGGTGTAAAGACTCCAAGTAGAACTGCAATTAAAAGGAGGTCTAGTCCTACAACTTGGGTTTTTGACTATCATTTTGTAAATGCTGGCACCCCGCACCTGAGCTGTTAAGCAGGAGAGGGGAAAATAGAGCAGTTAGAGAGGACACGTGCTTAATGAAGGCACGGGTGTCTGCAAATAAATCTACTATTGCTACGTATAACCCCAAAGGTTACTAACAAGAACTGAAAGGCCGGAGGTGCTCTGCTCTTTCAGTTGGTTTACTTTGTGCACTTTGCAGCACTTTGTGTATAGTCGGTCTCACTGGTTCCCCAGGTGCAGACAGAGTCGGTGTCTCCTGCTGTTTTGAATGCTCTTTCAAATCGCAGCAGGAGACGGGGAATGGGTGGAGGGAAGTGGAATGGAAAAACGCGTATGCAAACCCCATGCAATTTGCAAGACAGGTCTTAGACAAGCCTCAGAGAACTACTTCTGACTTGCCCTTTAAAGACTGTATTTCAAATGGAAGGTATTAATTTACGAGAATCATCCTGAGACCTTCCTTTTCTCATCCTGATCTTTGCAGCAACGGGAAAATCCATGCAAGGTCTCTCTCCTTGAGGGGATCGATAACGTCCCATCCGCGCAATATGGGTGCGGAGAAAAGTTAGGATCAGTCCACAGAGTATCGTAACAATGTTTGCCTTTGGGGACGTTTGTTGGGAGTCCACGCAGTTTGCTTTGCTGTTTGTTCCTCTTACGATGACCCACGCAGCTAAACGGATTAGCGATACTTAGATTTAAGTCTGTCGGCACTTGACTTGAATGATTTGAAGGGGATAAAATTCTTCTACTAAAACATATGATAGGCCTGGTTACCCGTGCTCCGTTTGTTTGTTAGAGTAATTTAAGGTCCTTAATAGCTACTAACCTGCTACTCAAGTTAGCGGTAGAAAAGGAAATCAGATCATAAAGCTGTATGCCTTGTTTGGTTTTCCATTTCATACTCATTATATGGACTCTAAATTATTGTACAGTATCTTATTCCTATACTATATTCATTAAAATGGTACTCCTCCCCCTAACTTACATTAAAATAATTTGTCTTAAATGCCAATGCGGTCGCTAGTTTCTACCTGTGTTTCACAGTCCTCCTTAAGAATAGATCTGTAGCAGCCGTGAGACGGTTATTTGACTGATTCAGAAGTTTAATGTCACTGTCCTTGGTGTGCATGATGGTTCTCAAATAGGCACAAACCCTGTATATTAGATGTGAACATCAGGTATTTTCACTGTCCCAATTAACACAGAGCAGGTCACTTGCTAGCAGAATGGTTACCCTCCGATATTCTGTGACAATTAGATCGAAACTGCCACATAGGTCTCGTACAATTGAAGATCTGCTTACATGAAATACAGTTTCGTCTTACTCCTGTGTGCTGTTTTGATATGTTTGCAGAGAAACCTGGAGTTCCTTACAAATGGCCTCGCTCACAGTTGGCCTCGTTTTTGTTTCTTTCTCTAGAGAGTTAACGCAGTAAAGTTGCAAAAGCTGAGCTCTTTGTGGAGTTTAACCCTGGCATTTCTTGAGTCCTGAACCTTGATTTTTAAACCTCTTTTCAATCATGACTTGCTACGATAGCAAAGGGAAAGGACCGAGGGACACACACTGTGTGTGTGGGAAG